TGGTAAATGTTATTGGATTGATTTGGTTTGTCGCTCTACGGAGATTTTTGCACACTTTAGGCCAGGGGTGGCCAACGCGCGGCCCGCCTTGGACATTTTTATCACACTTTTATAAAATATTATTATTTTATAATGGCCAAGGTAGTAAAAACCAATACATTAAAAAACTACATTATGTATACATCCCTCTATTCAAAAATAAACTGTCGAAATGATGAGAAAAATGAACTTTGATTTTAAAATAGAATTTTTGAGAATATAGGACAGATATTACCAGATATTGATAATATAACACAAAATATACACTGAAGTGAAAAAAAGTCATGGGATAGCAATATGCAAATTTTCAGATGGCAGGTAGCATCGCGTAGAACAGGTATAAATGCTCAGTGCTTTCGCTTTTGGCTTTCATTTCTGTTCAAGTTATTCATGTGAAGAGGTTTTGACGTGATGATGACCGCACGACGGGAATTAACAGACTTTGAACGCGGAATGTTAGTTGGAGCTAGACGCATGGGTCATGCCATTTCGGAAATCGTTAGGAAATTCAATATTCCCAGATCCACTGTGTCAAGAGTGTGCCGAGGAGTATGACATTTCAGCCATAACATCCCACCATGGACAGCGCAGTGGTCGACCGCCTGCACTAACGACCGAGACCGGCGACGTCTGCAAGGAGTCGTAAATTCTAACAGACAAGCAACACTGCGTCAAATAACCGCAGAAATCAATGTGGGACGTACAAGGGGACTTGTCTGTTAGAACTGTGCGGGAAATTTGGCTTTCTTGGGCTATTCCATCAGAAGAAGGACGACTCGAGTGCCTTTTTACTGACAGAACGACATCGCTTGCAGCGACTCTCGTGGGCACGTGAGCATATCGGTTGGTCCCTAGATGAATGGAAAACCGTGGCCTGGTCCGATGAGTCACGATTTCAGTTGGTAAGAGCTGATGGTAGGGTTCGAGTGTGGCGCAGACCCCACGAAGCCATGGACCCAAACTGTCAGCAAGGCACTGTTCAAGCTGGTGGTGGCTCCGTAATGGTGTGGGCTGTTTTTTTTCATGGCATGGACTTGGTCCTCTGGTGCGACTGGACCGAACATTGACTGGAAATGCTTATGTTCAGCTACTTGGAGATCACTTGCAGCCATTCATGGACTTCATGTACCCAAACAACGATGGGATTTTTATGGATGACAATGCGCCATGTCACCGGGCCACAACTGTTCGCGATTGGTTTGAAGAACATTCTGGACAATTCCAACGAATGATCTGGCCACCTAGATCGCCCGACATGAATCCCATCGAGCATTTATGGGACATCATCGAGAGGTCTGTTCGTGCCCAAAATCCTGCACCATCAACGCTTTCACAATTATGGGCGTCTATCCAGACAGCATGACTCTATATTCCTGCAGAAGACTTCCAACGACTTGCTGAGTCCATGCCACGTCGAGTTGCTGCACTTCGCCGGGCGAAAGGAGGCCGACACGATATTAAGAGGTATCCCATGACTTTTGTCACTTCAGTGTATGACATATATATAAGACTGAGAAATTTTCCGATTTGAGAAATCTGGCGCAAAAAGTTGTTAGTGCTTTGGGTTCATCTTACACCTGCGAATCTATTTTTTCTAAAATGAAATTGACCCAGCACAAAACATAACGGATGCTAACCTGCAACACCCATTACGATGTGCAAATACCCAAATGGAGATGGATTTGCGGAGAAACAAATATCACACTAGTAAAATAAATATTTTTGAATGATTTCATTTATTTTTATTTCGTTTATACACTTTTTATATTTCAATTTTAGTGTTCTATATTTCTTTACAGTGTGCGCTTAGTATCATTTATTATTATTATATCATCTATGTTTACATGCAAGAATAATAATAAATACAATAATAATAACTCAGTATGCTTCAGTTTTTCACTCCAAAAAAAAAAATGTCTATAGTGGGTCTAAACCTAATATGGGGATATATAATTTTATGTGCGGCCCGCGGGTTGGGATGCATTTCCCAAGTGGCTCGCGAGATCATTTGGGTTTGCCACGCCTGATTTATATGATGAATCTTAATTAATAACTGTATCTTTAACGTTTTTCTCTCCACTGTAGGTATATTTACTTACGTATCAACGACGATTTGTAGGTTGTCGGAGCTCCTTGGTATGGGTAACCGCTAACTCCTTCTTTGCATATGAGAGGGAAGTTACTTTAGCTTTTAAGCTCATTGCATTAAAAATAAAACAAAAAATAGAGATAATAATATATGGAGAGGAGAAGTTTTTTTTTTCTTTTTTTCAATAAAGTATTTAATAATTATTAATTATAATTTAATAATAAAATAATAAAGTAAAAAGAGGATTTTGAAGAATTACAAACTGAACGTAGTTTGAAAGAGAACTTAAAAAAAAAATACTTTCAATAGGTTAACTTACGTATCAACGCTATTTTTCGAAAATTATGCTTTCTGTAGTCAAATTAAAAGTGGTATGCCATGGCATTTATTTGATAATTAAAATGTTTTGGTACGTTAACAACAACAAAATGGGATTAGTTTCAGACTCAGGGAGGTACAAGACATCTAAAAACTTTTTTGATGATAGGGGGTATTTTTATAACTTAAATCTTTTTTTTTTTCAGAGATAAATAAACGATATATCTATTCTATGAGGGGGTGATAGATAATGGCATCATTTTGCTTTCTGCAGTCCAGTGTACTTCCTAGCTAGGAGTACAGCAGGCTTCAAAATACCATTCACATTACCATGAACAGAATGGAGGCTTCATCACTTGGGCTCGCTCGAGTTTCAACAGAAACCCCATCGTACATGATCCATGACCGTGGATTAGAACCCCCTTCCACTACTCGCCCTCCCCCTGCATCCCGTATAAATTGTCGTCTGCTCTGATGAAGGGCCGAGTCCAATTCCCTTCTCGGATCAAGTGCAGAGGGAGAGAGGGAGGGGGGGGGGGACAGGTGAAAGTGCAGAATGGATGTTGCCACGGGCATTTGTACAAACTTTCGCTTGAAGTAGCCCATGGGGGGTCAGGAGAGAGAGAACGATAATTATGCGGCACACACTGCGAGCGGCCTAATCTTTTTATTCTGTGCCGTGCGTGCAGCCACCAGTCGCGGTGGCTCCCCCTGCCGGTCATTCTGAGCGGTTGAAAGGTCACCGCCAAGTCCTTAGCGATTCCTTTCCCCAACAGAGAGGGTTTTCGGATTCCATGGAGAGAGAATTTCGTGCCCCCCTCACCCCCACCCTCTCAGACGTAGAGGGGGCATGGAAAGGCTTCTTCTCAGGGTGGGGGTGGAGGGAAGGGTGGAGCGACGACACCTGACATTTCCTCTGCATCACTTAGGAAGTGCGTTGCTGGATCTGGCAAGGGGAAGGGTCCAGTTTATCTGAGTGCGTTCGGTCGAAGAGAGAAGAGGGGCGAGGAACAAAGTGCAGACGATTAAGTTGGTCGGTGAAGTTCCTTCCACAGAAGTAGCAGTTGCTAAGGGTGAATGAAGTGTTTGTTAGGAGCAAATATTGAATAAGGAGCAAAATGACTAATTACTTTTTTATGGTTTTTAAATCCAAGACCTTATTTTTAAAGTGAGATAAAATCGAAAATTGTATTAAGTTAGCTCTTTAAAGATATATATATATATTATTTATAAAGAACTCTCTTTTTATGTATATTACATTGCAGAAACACTGTTTTAATGAATTATTACAAAATTGAATTGCAAAAACTTCAGCTTTTTATGTTTATTTAGTTCAGCGCGATTTTTATTGGTTTATTGGCTGGCGATTTTTTGTTTAAGTTTGGCGATTTTTATTGGCGAAATTTATTCGACAAATAATTTGTTTTTATCACTAATAATATTTAAAAAATATATATAATTTTTAAATAATATATAAATATTTTTAATATATAAATATTTTTTTTGTTCTTTTAATATTAAAAAAAATCTGCCATAAATTTTAAATCGGAATGTGAAAAAATGCTATTCTAAAGAAATTCATATAAGTAAATTATATCTTGTAATGTATTACAATCGAAATAAAAAAAAAAAAAACCTAATATATATTTTTTTATAAAATATTACTAATATAATTAGTATTAAAAAAATTTTTTTTTTTATAAAATATTACTAATAATACTAAGCATAAAAAAAAAACTAATATTTTTGTTTATAAAACATTACCAATAATACTTATTATAAAAAATGTTAATATGTTTGCTTATAAAATGTTAATAATAATACTGAATTTCAAAAAACTCATATTTTTTATAAAATATTAATAATAATACTTAATATAAAAAACCCTAATATTTTTGTTTATAAAATACTAATAATATTTAGTATAAAAAAATAATATTTTTATTTATAAAATATTACTAATAATACTTAGTATAAAAACCTAATATTGTTTATATAAAATATTATTAATTAAACCTAATATTTTTACACTAAGTATTACTGCGATAAACCAAAGCGTGACATGTATATCGGTAATGATATCAAACATGCAAATAAAAAGGGAATAAAAAATCTAACTGCAACAACGCTTTTGGCGGAAATTTGGCGAGAGATTTGGCTGTAAATCTTTAAAATCATCCTACTACAAGACAATTACTAGTAGAATGAATTTAAATATGTTGACATTTCAAAATATTAATCATCAGAATTATATTTTATTATCAGTTCGGTTTTGTGCTTTAATATGAATGTGGTGATTATTATGTAATTCTTTTCTTATAATTCTTTTTTTTTTTTTCTGTATTTCTTCTAACTTTGTAATGAAAATAATAGATCAGTATGCAGTCGATCACTTATTCTTGTTTTCAATAATTAACTAATTATAACTGTAGCTGCAGTCATAGAAAAAAAAATTACGTAATTATGTGAATGTTAAATACAATATGGAATGACATGTAATATTTTTTAGTTTTGTAATTCATATAATATAATTATATTATATATTATATATGCCAGATCACCGAAGTCAAGCATCATTGGGCGCGGTCAGTACTTGGGTGGGTGACCACCTGGGAACACCGCGTGCCGTTGGCATTCACAAACTTGGGACCTGACTGGCCGAGTGTCTAGCGCTCTGGCGCTCTGTGCCACAGGTTTCGGGTTCGAATCCCGGTGGTGCCATGGATGTTTGTAGTGGTTCGGAATCCACTTTAAGCCGTAGGTCCCGGTCTTCTATGACTGTAAGAGCGTCACGGAGCCTAAAGTCAGACTTCTACCTACGGGTGCTCCATCACAACAGAAGCTGCTTCCTTCCCCTTCAATCATGAGTACGTATGGGCTCGTGGACTTGGCCAGCCAAGTGGGATAAGAAACAACAACAACATATTATAAATTTAATTGTTCGATTTGAACATTAAATTGAATTATTTACTGTGCAGTTTCATAAATTATTAATTCAGTGCAACGTAATATATATCTAAAATATGCTAAAAATATTCTTAAAAGATTTATTAAAAATAGGTGCATCTACTGTGATATTTAATGTTTTCCAATTAAAAAGGAACGTGATAAATAATTTGAGTTTAAAAATATAAACATCCTTATAATACATATATTATGCCCATCTTTTATGAGGGCCATCTTTTTGACTTGATGACAGAAGTATTTTTCAGAGAATTGTAAAAATAAAATTTATGACGAGATTCTCTGTCCAGTGTAGATCTATATTGCAATCTGAGTTTTATTTATATCACTTTTTATTTATTTATTTTTTGTTTATCATCTCAGATTTCTGCCATAGATTTTTAATCGGTTGCATTATGTTTTCTGTGATGACATTTGGTGCGTATGCTCTGTAATTACGTGTCTTATTGGAGGAAAACAGAAAAATTCCCTTTAGATAACCTTATATCGATACAAGAAGTATCTTTTTTCTTTTTTTTTTTTTCTGAAAGTAATGACTGCAAGCACATGCTTGTAATGGTCTCAAATTTGATACTTTCTTCAATGTAATCATGCTCGTTACTAGTCACAATCACAGGCTCCGGGCTCGAATCCTGGCGTGGGCATGGATGTTTGTGAGTGGTTCTGAATCCACGTTAAATTGTAGGTCCCGGTCTGTTAAGCCCTCTTGGGCACAAGATGACCGTAGAGCGACAAATCAAACAGGTCACAGTCATTTTTTAAGTTACTTTCAATTCGTAGCCCAGTGGTAAAGCACGAGCCTGTTAACGGGAAGGCTTGAGTTCGAATCCATTGTCAATGTCTGTTAATCGTGTGTCATACTTATTTATTTTATTACTTTCAGCATAAAGCAAACCGGTGTTACCGCTAAAATAATAAGTTTACGATGTGCATGAGTTTCTGCGAACTGACTTGTACGGGAACATAGTCATGTGACCTCAAACCCCAATGTTTTCATTGACCTCCTGCGAAATGAACGAGTTATTGAGGATAAAAGTTGGAAGAGCGTACAGCGATGAACTTGCTATTTGAGTAGAAACGGAAGCATTCCATGTAAATAGTGCTCTTTCCATCATAATCAGTGAAGAACATCTGTGGAACATAACAACGTCCACTAAAGTAAAAAAAAAAAAAAAGGGCAAAAGTCATAGCATTCAATACAAAATTAATAATAATAATAATTTTTAATATAAATAATATGGCAACTTTTTGAATTTTTGAACGTTCGTAATAATAATAGTACATAATTTTATTGTGATAAGAATAATACATAATTCCTCTCGAATTCTGGAGGTTTTCTCTTTCTTTTTTTTTTTTTCAAAATTTAATTTTTAATCAACAATTTATATGTTGTATTAAAAAATTCCAATCAGTGCCATTGGTAAGGTAACAAAAATTTTTTTTTTATTGCATGTACAATAATTATCTTTCTATTTATCTAACTAATATATATATATATATATATATATATGAATTGTTTTTTCTCTTCTCCGGTTTTAAGAATATATTTTAATAGAATAAAATACAAGCTTTGTTTTATAGGTACAATTATTAGAAGAATTCGTAGTTTCCTTTTTCTTTTAATAAAAAAAATTCATGACAGCAATAATATAAAAACGGCAGTCACACACTTTTATTTAATAAGTGTTTCTAGTTATAAGAAATCTTCCGAAAGGAATAAAACCTAATATTTCCATTTTTCAAAATATTTTATTCTATCTGCTATTAAATATTTATCTTTTATGTTTTATATTCTCTAATAGAATAGGTTAGAAAACGTTAAATTTTAAGAATTTTAAAACTCAGAGATTATAGTTAAGTCGAGCAGTTTACATGCAGAATGCATTTTACAGAAATTTTATTCTATTATATAAAAAAAATGTTAAAATTTTTTAAATATAAAGCCGACCTTAAATCCCCATTAGCGCACGAAGGTTTTGAAAACTGCATACAAAACCGATTTTCTACAGCTTAGATAGAAATTGGAACGTATGCAGTTTCGTTTACCAGTTTTCGAGAGAGCAGAATTACTGCTCTGCCTTGTGTCGCTTTTTGATGGCGTAGCAAAAGATTTAAGACCTTCTGAAAGATTATTGAAGTCTGCCTCCTAAGGAGAGATAAGATTGTTTTTCGAGTTTAAATTACATCGTCTGGGTAATGTAAATTACATCGACTAACATTTAATCAAATGTTTCAAATGTGGACGTGGCCGAAGATGCAAAAACACTGCCGACTTGTAATTCAGCGGTAACTCGACCAGCTAAAATGCTGGACCGTGTGTTGTTGTCACTGTTTTCAGAAAAGAGAAGACTCAATGGTGATTGAGACAATGTTTATAAGTATCTAGAATCGTGGAAGATGGATTTAGTCTTCCACTGGCTAGAGATATGTAGTAGTGATGATTCGGTATCCCCTTTATATGATTGTAGAGCGTTGAGCGTTATGGCGCATTGTCATCCATAAAAATCCCATCGTTGTTTGGGTACATGAAGTCCATGAATGGCTGCAAGTGATCTCCAAGTAGCTGAACATAAGCATTTCCAGTCAATGTTCGGTCCAGTCGCACCATGCAGAGGACCAAGTCCATGCCATGAAAAAACAGCCCACACCATTACGGAGCCACCACCAGCTTAAACAGTGCCTTGCTGACAGTTTGGGTCCATGGCTTCGTGGGGTCTGCGCCACACTCGAACCATCAGCTCTTACCAACTGAAATCGTGACTCATCGGACCAGGCCACGGTTTTCCATTCATCTAGGACCAACCGATATGCTCACGTGCCTACGAGAGTCGCTGCAAGCGATGTCGTTCTGTCAGTAAAGGCACTCGAGTCGGTCTTCTGCTGGAATAGCCCAAGAAAGCCAAATTTCTCCGCACAGTTCTAACAGAAAAGTCCCTTGTACCTCCCACATTGATTTCTGCGGTTATTTGACGCAGTGTTGCTTGTTAGAATTTACGACTCTTTGCAGACGTCGCCGGTCTCGGTCGTTAAGTGCAGGCGGTCGACCACTGCACTGTCCATGGTGGGATGTTATGCCTGAAATTTCGTACTCTCGGCACACTCTTGACACAGTGGATCTGGGAATGTTGAATTCCCTAACGATTTCTGAAATGGCATGACCCATGCGTCTAGCTCCAACTAACATTCCGCGTTCACAGTCTGTTAATTCCCGTCGTGCGGTCATCATCACGTCAAAACCTCTTCACATGAATAACTTGAACAGAAATGAAAGCTCTGCGAAAGCACTGCGCATTTATACCTGTTCTACGCGATGCTACTGTCATCTGAAAATTTGCATATTGCTATCCCATGACTTTTGTCACTTCAGTGTATATATACCATATACAGTACAACTAAACATAAGCAAAATTTCCTTTCTTTAATGAATGATTATTATAAATTTTTTTCGAAAAATAATACCTTACAGTTTCAAGCACTGCACTTATTATTTTATATACCTTCATCATCATCATCAATAGCACGACACTCCAGAGTGAGTCAAGGCTTTCCTTTGAAGAGATTTCCATGCATTCCTCTGGGTGACAAGGGTCCTCCAATTCTTAACCTGTAGTGCAGCAAAATCTTTTTCAACTGCGTCTATCCATCGCAACCTGGGTCGTCCTCTTCGTCTTTGTCCCTGTGGCTTTGCCAAAAGAGCCTTTTACGAGGTTTAAATCATTTCTTCTAAATACATGAGCAGCCGTCAGTTTAATTTATGGATTTTATATACATTGCTTTGGTAAATTTATTGTAAGGAATTTAGTAATATATTTATATGGAACATACTATAGCGTTATATCTGACTTACCAAGAAGGGGGATAAAGATTTCAGAAAAGATTGCAAGCTAATTAGAAGATTTCTTTTGGATACAATAAAATTGCATTTCAACGTATTAAATATTATTACATACTATTTTTTACAGAAAACAAAATGTTGAAATTTAAAAAAAATTTGAAATGATCTTAAGCTTTTGAGATACAGAAATTAACGAAAAATCATTTGTAGTAAATATGTCTAAATACGAAAAACAGCAACCTTTAAAATCGCACCATATCATTAGGCCTCATATACAATGGGTCAATTTCACTTTTTTTTTCAAAAGTATTCCTACAATAATTCTCAATAATCACATATTAATGTTAGATACATTAGTTGAAAAGTACAAGAAACTGAACATTCAACGAACAATATATATTATATTTCTGGCTAACTCTCAAAATTCCTCAAATTATAGAAATTTATAAACATGACCTAATTGTTTTCAATTATGGTGAATCGTTGTGAACTTTTTTTCCTTCAATTATAGTGAATCGTTTTTTTTTTCCTTCAATTATAGTGAATCGTTGTGAACTATATTTCCTTCAGTTATTGTAAATTTTACATTTAAACGTTTGCATCTACGATTTTTTTATGAAACACTAATTCAAATTTAAAATTATAATAATAACCAGCTTACACATAAGTACCAATGTCCTTGAAGACATAAATACGCAATACTTCTTTTAAAATGGAAAGCAACTTTTTACCCTGAGGTCAATTCCTCACAAGCTATGATCACAAACAATCGTATCATGTGCTTACTAGTAAGCCTCACAAATAGATTCGCCGTCCAGCTGAATTTCGGTT